AAATTGTACTACAAAAGATTTTTTGTTAAATTTAATATATTCCACGTGTCCAAAATTATTCAATTATCTAATTTTTGTGTTAATTCAACACAAGGCAAATATATTAACAAATAACGTAACTTATCATTTTACATATAAAACATGTGTGTTGCAAGAATATACATACATACATGTTATATATAAATTGCTATTTATAATTATTATTTTAACGTTGAGAAAGAGTTAATATAAACTCAAGGCAAGAGAGTCAAAATAATTCAACAATATTGAATTAATACACGAGTATGTTAAAAATTTAACACAAAAGTTTTGGATTAATTTCAACAGAAATACAAAATATATTTTCTACCTTGTCGTATAAATTACTGTAGAAACAGTAAAGAAATTTGATTGACATGCGGCGTAAGAAAGCAGGCAATTGCAATAATTCCGTAAAATAAACAGCCAAACGTGCCTAACATTTTTTCAATAAAAATGTGCAAACTTCGATGCGTTGCAAGTTTACAAAATTTTGTTGTAATTTTTACTACAATATTTTTTTCATGCAAATAAGAATGAACCGACATCGAGGAGGAACACGGTTTTTCTTATCCCGCACGTGTGAAATTTTGTCACGCATTTAGTTTTACGATTAATCTCTATCCGAGTCAGAAGATTAGTTCCGTCCATGATCGCTCAATGGACCTCGAACTATAAGCACAACGAGCTGAGAAACCGCGCATATGTGTATTGCGTATATGTGTAAACTATTCTGTAACAGTGTCGAAGACATTTTCCTCGACGTTAACTAACCATAAATCGAATCTCTCGCGTCCTTGCGCGAGTAACGCGACGATGCGTTACAATTGTGCGAATGCTAATTACACTCGGCGAAATCCTCGCAAATCGCATTAATTATCGTCGACCGGGCCGTCGTTCGCATCTAAGACGCCGCCGAACAAAAAATCCGTCGTTAGTTTCGCCGCAACACGCATGCGCCCGCTCCCGAAGCGCGAACCTTGAAACGGCCGCCACGCGGAAACTAGCGGCGCGATCGGGCCCGCGCCCAAATAAATAAGCATGACAAACGGTAGAGAATCGTCCGGTGAAAGTCTCATCCCGATATCTCTTACTGTTCGCGAAATATTAAATAGCCGTTTTTGGCGAGAGCGGCGTTGTCCCGGCAGGGCAACGCGAGCGCCATCGACATTACTCGCGGCAGAAGCGTGTCAGGGCCTCTCTCGCTTCCACAAGCGAGCGTCAGCCTTTGTGGCGAATCCGCGCTACACGCGATTCGCGAACGGCATTCGTGCAGGATCGCCTCGTCCAAATTGCGGTCTACACGCCTTTCTGCGTCTCTCCCGTGTGTCGCGTCTCCCCGAATTCGTTCGTTCTGGCTGCATCCTCTCTTTCGCGGTATCCTCTCGGAATGAAATAATTGCGAAGGGACGCGGAGAGTGACAGGTCGGGAAAAGCCCTCAAGCATCCTTCCCATAACCGCATCTGTTTCGGCTGAATCGACTGATGTCATCGCGATTCGTTTGTATTCACGTGTCGCGCGAACTTTAACCTGTTTACAGATAGAGTAAACTCGGGTATGATCATACAGAGAAGAAGAGAAGGCCACAAAACTGTACTTTCTCACGTATAATTATTTAATAATACGTTTTAGCATATGAATGTACGCGCCTAAATTACTATAAATATCGATTATCTTTGAGAATGACTACAAAAGCGCATTATTTTAGCAATTATGGGAGAAATTGCAGTCTATAGCCACCCGAATTACATTTATCTCGCTTATATTAGCTCACTTTTTAATATCTTTTGGAATTCATTTGGAGATAACTTTTTTTAAAATTTCCACATCAAGTAATGCGCGTATCACGGAAAAAAAAAATATTAGTTGCGGCAGTAAAAATCTACGTGTGATAGCTAAATCTCGTTGTAACGTATGAACAGTTAAAAAATATAGCTGCCAGTAGACATATATTTAGCTATGGTGAAACCGTGCAAATGTTTCAGTTACAGCAGCAAATGTTTAGTTTAGCAGCGACAAATACATTTTCAGCACAGCATGATTAACTGGACAATGGAATCCTTCCTTTGTTCCGTATAGCTATTTGGTAACACAACTCGCAGAGTCTATGCATTCGAGCTAATAAACAAACAATCTTGTCTGACTCTTCTGTCGCGGTTTTACATTTCAGCGGTTAAACAGATTAGAAAGTGACACGCCATAGAAGGACGATCAGGTAAAATGTACATTCCTATACGCCCTTTAGAGAGAAAAGCAGAAAGGCAGAAACCAATCAGAACTCGCGCTGGTAGTCAGCAGGTAGCCAGCAGTTTCTGTTTTTCTATCAACCTTAGTTCTAGTTCTCTTTTACCTTTCTGTTTTTAGCTTTCCTTCCGAAATGTGAATTCTTCCTAAAGCAAAACTCAGACCTTGGTAGAAGACGGGAAGACAGGAGCCAATCAAAATTCATGCTGGTAATCCGCTAATAGTCGCTAATAGTCGCTAATAGTTTCTGCTTTTCTACCAGCGCGAGTTCTGATTGGCTCCTGCCTTCCTGTTTTCTGCTTTTCTGCCAATTCTCTCTTAGAGTCGGCTAACGTCCCTCCTTCGAGTAGAGGAGCATCTTTTCTTTGCACGATTGCCACGTATTCATATTTCTAGCCTGATATAATTTCCGCTCCGATAGAAGATATTAAGTATTTCATAAAACATATTTGTATTTCACTCGCTGCGTGTTTCGTGCAGGATAATTACGCGTCCAAGCAAAATCAATGGAGTACTCATATTTAATGAATGGCTCGCGAGTTCAGTTAACGCTGAATTCGATATAATGCAGGAAGCTGTCGCATATATCGAATTCGGTCCAGAATATTCTACTGTTCTCCATATTCCGCGCCGATGGCGATATTCGAGAGGGCAAAGTTAATTCTGTACCCGCGGTGAACTTCATCCGCGCCTCGGACGTTTCGACTCTACACTTATAGCACACGTAATATCGCGGTAGGCTCGCAGTGGAATAAATACATAGTAAAAAACGCAATTAATAACGAGCACGGCAAGAACGACGGTGGTGGCGGGCGTCGAAGGAACAAAGGAGGACATCGGCCGGTCCGGATAAAAGAGGGGAAGGGGACTTATATCCACGATACGCCATCTACGTGAACTGCTGTGTGTATTCCAAGGTTGCGCAATGCAATGTCGCCCTTTGACGCATGGCCGTGAGTGCTTTATAATGCATATTGCGCCCACATTTTCCCATCGCCTGTGGGGTAGCGTGGCGTTTCGTGTGTATGGCGATTGATTGTGCCCGAAGGGGAGGCAAGCCCTATGTAGTCGGGAGTCGAGTAGGAGGAGCGGGTGTAAAAGGAAGATCGGAAAATGGAGGAGGGAGGGAGGGAGGAAGGAGCAGGGAGAGACAATCCAGAGGAGAGAGCAGTGGGGACCCTTGAAAGAGGGTACACGAGATCAGTGCGAGGTCCGCGCGATCGCGAACGACAGAGATGACAAACAGGAGAGCGTACGGAGGGTGAGCGAGGAGGAGGAGCGACGGAAGGGCCAAGGAGACGCGGGTACAAAGAGAACAGAGAAAAAATCCACAGTCAGAGAGAGAGAGAGAGAGAGAGAGAGAATGACGACGAAAGAGGAGAGTGAGCGAGCGAGCGAGAGCACGCGGGAGAAGAAGAAAATCGCGCGCAGTAGTAGTTATGTAGAGAGAAGCGGCATCGCCGCACGGCTACTTGGCTCTCCAGGGCCAGGATATTTCAATACCGGCGGTGGTCGGCCACCGACGTGGGGCCGTGCGGGGAAGGGGAGCATGACGACGACGACGACGGCGCGGTGCGGCGATGGGTATGCGTGCGCGTGTATGTGCCCGTTCCATGTGTGTGACGCGCGAGCGCGCTCGCTCCTCTCTTTCTCTCCCTCCCTCTCTCCCCCTCTCTCGCTCACGCGGCTATGTACACACGTATACACACGACGTTATATACGTTCCCCCCTCCTCCGCACCGTGTCCCCTCGTCTACGTGCCCGCCCTTCGCGGCGGTATACACGGTTTCGCGTCGTACGGCTTTACACGGTCGTTCGACGACGAGAAGAGAGGCCCCGGTGGCACGGTAGCGCGCTCCGCTATTCGGGTTTCCTGCGCGAGGGGTAGGAACGTGAAGGGAACGGGTTCTGCCTCTATCTCTCTTCCCGGCGTGTGCGGGAGGGGGAACGCTCTCTCGCCGAGAAACGCAGACTTCGCAGTGTGTGGCGGCACGGCGGGGTAGTAGGGGGAAGGAGGAAAGGGGAGAGGGCAAGGGAGAGACAGAAGCCCGAGCCCGCGGCCGACGGGCTCATCGGTAATGCCCGCCTTCGCGCTGCGTCGAGGGGAACCGACATGGGTTGTGCCAGGCGACGATTGGGCGCCCCGACGAGTGGGGCTCGGGACATTGGTGGCGCCTCGAGGGCTCTGCCAATCGGACGCTCGCGCCGTGGCATTTTTATCTTGCTATTTACGCCGAGGACGGAGAAGAACAGTTCCCCCGTCCGGCGTGCCACACCGTCTCCCTCGCACCCGGACGCTACCCGCGCACCGTCCTGCTCGCACGCGCTCTCCCTGTGCGGCTGGTCGGCGCAGGAGAGGACACTCTCGTTTCGGGATCCGTGGAGGTCGCACGCGTTTTCACGAGTCCGCGAGAAGTGTGGTGTGTGTATGCTGCTGCTGTTGCTGCGCCGTTGTCGTCGTCGTCGCGGCGGCTTCAAACGCGCTCTCTTGTGCTCTCGTCTTATACAGGTACGTGTGTCCGGATGACGGCGCTCGTCACCCGTGGATTTCCGTGATCTCTGGTGTTCGCCGCGTACTACGATAGGCTACCGCGCGCGCCGCTGTGTGTACTCGGGTACAGTGTGTGACAGTACGTCGCAGGAGGATGCGACGTTGCCGGATGTCGTAGGCGCGAATACGCGTACACGGCTCGTAGCATGGTGAGGTCGCTGAAGAGGAGAGGAACAGTAGACGCGCGCGCGCGCGCGCGAGAAAGAAAGAGAGAGAGAGGAGAGCGCGTCCACGCTCCGACGTGAAGGAAGAGTGACAGAGACGGAGGGAGTGTGCGCGGCGTCGATCGATTTCGACTCGCGACCAGAGGTGGAAAATCGTGAGCGTATGTCGACGTTGCTGACGTTGCCGCCGGCGCCGTCGTCATTGTCGTCGCTGCGAACGAATTCTGATCATCGTAGAGCGCTGTTACACGCTAGTGACATTTGCGGTGCGGCACTATCGACGAAACAAACTTGGCAACGTCGCATCGACTGCTCTCGCACACACGTATACGCGCGCGCATACACGTACCTTAGAAGGGAACTTGGGGTGGCTGGCTGGTTGGCTGGTTGGCAGGCAAACAGGAGATAGCCAGGCTTAGCTAGCGGGCAAGCAAGCAAGCAAGCAGGGCAGGCAAACAAGCAGGCAGGCAGGCCAGGCAGACAGCTTTCTTGTTCCGAGGACGGCGCTCCTGGTCGTGCCGTCTCTCTTTTCTACCTCCATTGCGCTTACTCTTCCTCTCCCTCGACCCCTCACCATCTCCCTCGTCCTCGCTTAGCTGAATCGTTCTCTCCCTTTCTCTCTTCCTCCCTCTCCGTTGTCGGTCTCCTTCTTCTCTTTCTCTCTCTCTCTCTCTCTTTTGCCTACACGTTCACGCCGCACGTACCGTTGAGAGTCTCTCCCTTCCCCTGTCGTAGTCTTTCTCTGCCTCTCTACCCCCTCTTCTCTCCTAACCTCGAGCGGATCGGACGAGTCCATCGGCTTGCGAGGGGAGCTCGGCAGACCTCGGCCCTAGTCGGCCTCGATCCGCAGAATGCGTTAGACGCCACGAGTCGATCGCTCCGGTTACCGTATACTCACGACCCGTGAATGCAGCGCGTACGTCGCGGCGCTTGCGGAAGCCGTCGCGTGTTACTTGTGCATAGCCGCGAGCCGCGGCGGCCCTTATCGTTGCCAGTTGACGCGTTCGATTTGGACGCACTCGACTAGCGTACATCCGTGCGACGGCCATGTTTGGTGTTTACGACGTGAGGGGGGACCGCTGACGTCACACGATTCGGACGGCCGATCTCGCCCGAGCGGCAACACGAAGACGGGACGAGCGACAGCAGCACCAGCAACGACGGGAAACGTGCCGTCGCGGCTGTATACCGGCAGCGCGCAACCGATACATCCGCGCCCGCGCACAACGTGAGAGGACCCGTCGTCGTGTGTCGTCATCATTGTCATCGCCGTCATCGGACGCGAGGGGAGACTCGCTCGTCGTCGCGGCGCGCACGAAGCCACACGAACACTCGCGACGTGCACCGCCCGAACCCGTAAAGTCGTCCGGTGTGCTCTCCTGATGGGATCGACTTTGCTCGCTGTGCTCGCCGGTTCTGCCGTGACTACTGGCCTTTCGAAAAACATCGTGCGCCTTGCCACCTCCTACTCCCGCTTCTCCGCCTCCGCCTCTGTTGTCGCACCGTGGAAATAGCACCCCTTTGAGCACCGGGCGGCGCTCCGCCGCTCTCTGTAACCGCTCCGCCGCGGAGACCGTTGAGCTAGGGAGTGCAGTAACGTTGTTGCGTGCCGACACGAGCGGACGACAACGCGAACCTGGCTGAGGATTCCACTAACTGATTGTGCGCGACGTCGTAGATACGAACACACGCCACGTGGTGATCGCGCACGTGCCTCATCGTGCCTCTCTTCGCACGATACGCAGCAGTGTTCGTTTGAGAGTGCAGTCGATCGATCGATTCCTCGCGATATACGTTGCCTATCTGCCTACGTACGCGCAGTGTTAGACTCTCTGTCCTTTGTCTCTCTCTCTCTCTTTCTCTCTTTCTCTGTCTCTTGACTAGTCCGTGATCGATCTTGTTGCGCAGGTGTGCCGGTGGTACATATGGTGTTTCACGAAATATACCGCGTGACACGCAGACACGGATTAATCAGCTGCACTTGCGTCCAGGATCTGGAATACGTGGATTAAGAACCACTCGACGAGAAAGCCATGGATCTGGGCGACAGGGTCTACGCCGCGGAGCGGATCACGAAGAAGAGAGAGAAGCGAGTGAGTAACGCGACCAGTCACCGTCAGGTGGCACCACCAGATGGAATCCGTTCGCGCGCCGTTACCGCCTCTTTATCCCCCCTCCCTCATGCCTCCTACCTTGTCCCTCTCTCTCTCTCTCTATCTCTTGATCGCTTTTTTTTTCTCTTTTCCTCCGACAGCCGGCTCCTCGGCCACCTCTCTTCCGCGACAATTTATGCCGCGCTTCTAGACTTCAGGCATTAAGTGCCAACAGGTATGGGCCTGTTTAGCTCCGACACACGTTCGTGTCGCCATACGCACTTACCGAATCCGGAAGCGCGACTGGACATCGAGTTATGGATCGACCGGTTTTCACGCACGTGTTGCCATCGGCTAGACTATCGATTCGCCCTCGTTACAAGAGCGTGTAAGCGATTTCGCCGCTCGCACCGCCGCCGTTATATCGGCATCAATCATATACGCGGGTAGAATGACAGCGCGCGCGCCCCCCGAAACGTACGCTATTTGTCACGAATGTGTGTCGAGGTGCACGCCACGAGAGAGAGTAAAATGTAAATACGAGAACTTTCCTCGCACTTCAATTCTCGCTTGGAACGCGTCGATAATATATATTTTTGAAGCGCTGCCAAATTATTACGTATTCTACTGTCACTTCCTTCCGCTCTTTCACGAAAATCTCTGTTGCAAACGCGCCTTTTCATCAAATGGCGAACATTGTACCGTAACCATAGACACGTATAATGGACTGACTATTAGAGGGCTGAAGCCAAGATCGAAGGATACAGATATACTGATAGTACTGCTTTCTCTGTCACACAGCACCGTAGACGAAAGCGACGTGGGGGAAACAGAAGAGTGAACATAGTGAAAGAAAGAGAAAAATAATGTGCATTTGATTATGAGAAAACACATAACCGTAGATCTGTTCGTGTTGCTTGCACTTTTCGCCCTTAGAATAAGACAGACGCATATTCGGACACTTGAAAAAGCAAAAGAGAGGAAATCGAGTGCGAAAAGTACGAGCAATACGAACAAACCACATGATTGCGATCCGAAATGCACTCACTATTAGCGTGCTTATATATTTAATTTCAAAATATATTTAATGTTATATGTACTGTACACTTTCTTTATTGACTACATTTGCACAGCAACGTTAATCCGGATTAGTAACAACCGTAGTTAGTGAACTCTTGGGTTTTATTGGTATATTCTTTTAGATTTAAAAATTTACTCCAATCGGATTCGAGAATTCACTAACTACGATAGTTACTAATCCGGGTTAACGTTGCCGTGTAAAACCCTATGCACAATATCAGGTAACAGGCAATAGGAATAGACATTAGCCAATAGGAACAGGGAATAGAAATAATTCACCAATCTGATTTCCTATTCCCTGTTCCTATTGCCTGTTGCCTGGCATTGTGTAAACGTAGTCAATGTCAGCGCATTTCGGACCACTGTTCTCCTCTTTCCTTTTTTCTACCAACTACATAATTAGACAAGGAAAACACCACTATTCTCTATTGCCCTTTCGTTCTAAGTCGGTTTCAGAACAGCTGCACACAAATTTCCATGAAAATAAACGTAAGACGTAAACTTAAACTGAAGAATCAATCAGTATATTGCTTTATCTTTGCGTATTCTAGAAGAAGACAGTACTGACGATAAAATTGATTGTTATGCAGAACTAGAATCCGACCGGTTGAAATTCTAGTTACTCAATCTAAGTTCTAGTTACACCGTTACTTCTATCTAAAACTTCTTTCTTCTATCTTCTTCTAGAGTATGCAAAGATAAAGCAATATCCTGATTGGTTCTTCAACTTAAGTTTACGTCTACGGTTGCGGAAATTCGTGTGCGAGCCAGCCCTCCAACGGGAATGCTCAGTCTATTTTATACGTCTATGGCCATAACTCTCTCTAGATAGATCGTCTCGAAATTTATAGGCCATGGTCAGTCAAGCCATCAGTCAAGCCATCAGTCATGAATATTTTTACGTAAACTCGGTCTCATATAAATTACTTAAATCATGTAATTCTTTTTCCCTAGTGTGAAATCGTGAAAAGTAAATAATTCTGTAGTACTTTGAGACGTTCACGAATCTTCTCCGAACTCGTAAAAAATTAGCATTTCCATGTATTTTCAAGCTTAGATTTCTCACTTTTTCTTCACGAGTTCACACGAGGGAAGAAGATTCATGACTGATCTCCAGGTTGATCCCAATCAGTTGTCTGGTTCGTACAAAATGATGTTATTGGCTCTTGATACGTCGTGTAACGCAGCATGGTGTAATCAGAATATTAATAAGAAGTATGATCGATAACTATAACTAGTATCATTTCATACCAAATAACTGACTGGGATCAACTCTAGGATTATGAGATAAATTTCTAGTCAGGATTTACATCCACAAAGAATTTGTCTTCGTATGTATCCTCAGTCACGCGCAAAATCGACTCTTCGGCGATTATGCAACGTATGGATTTGCACGTAATTCTCTACAACGCAGAAACAAGCGTTTTCTTCTTCCGAGCATTTCGAAGGAAACATTTGCAGTAGTTGGAGTTTCAGAATAGTCGTGAACTCTGCTTCAATCTCCGCTAATCTACTCCTACACAATCCGAAGGCAACAATAACAGTTGTCTTAAAGAGTACGGTCAAGTGCCTGATAGGCTAGTGGCCTAATTTATTCAAAAGGATTATATGGCTCTTTTTGATAAAGAATCAAGTAAGGAGGAGTAAGAGTCTGTTAAGAATCAACACACAGATGTAATAGCGTGATGTTAACTAACTAAATCATAAATTGTTAGTGTTTTGTCTGTTCTAATTTATTCAGAAAAAAGATTTAAATCCAGAGTACTTATAGTTTTTGCCACGTTGATTACAAATATACGCATTATTTTCCAAAGAAAATGGCCCATTTTAAATAACACTCACTAGATGACGCTATTTATTTTCACAAATAAAAAGTGAAACTATGACAATTTGCAATGACAAAATCATCTTCTGCGAGTCGTAGCAACAATTCCAGGTGTTCCTCGAAAAAGAATGACTGAATTGGCTTTCGAAATTCTATCTTTGGTGGATTCTAATAAGTTCTCAGTTGACACGACCAAATTGGATCGATCGACTTGTTGATTACATTTTAAAACCACTAGTAAGGTCAAATGCGAGCTATCAAGAAATAAATTAACATTTTTATTTTGTGAAAATAAATGGCATTATGTAGTACAATTTTTAAATGTACGTAATAAGCTATTTTCTTTAAAACGATACGTTGGCTTACCTTGGGACTTGCATATTCGTAACTAGCGTGCTAAAAACTATAAAGTAAGACTAATTTGGATTCAAAATTTTTTTCTAAATAAAATAGACCGAACTCTTGACCGCGCACACACACTTTTAATGCAATAATCTTACCTCGCGAAGAATGTGATCATACATACATTTGGTATGTTGAACATTTCAGAAATTTGTAGCTAGAGTTCCTAGTTAGATATCTATAGGGTAGTAGTTAGGGTTCCCGAATCGTCGCCGCCAGACTTTAGAAATAAAAAGATGTATTCAAAAATAACACTTGCAACCGATCGAGCAGATGTGTGAAATGGACCAAACACTTTCCTTTTGATCTAACACCAATAAATAACTGTAAAATTAATGCGACAAATTCATAAAAAAATGTAGATTAAAAAGGTAAGTTGCGTGTCACGTAATTTCGGTAATTTTACGATAATTTCGTGATTTTTAAAGCGAAAGGAAAGTATTCGAATTCTTTTACAAATGTGCCCGATCGATTGTGAATGTCATTTTACGAGCTATATCTTTTTGTTTCAACGTATTTTGCAAGAATTTTTATCATCTCTGACGTCATCAATTGAGAGTTTCACAGCGAGGAATCAGGAGCCTTAAACTGCTGAAAAGTGTCTCAACTGTTCTGACATCGGCTATACAATCCTGGTTAACGGGAGTCCGCAGGCGAACAATCGCTGACGGATGGGAGAAAGGTTCCGTATGGCGATCAACTGGTAGCAACCGGTGGCGTGTTATACGATACAGAACTGCAGAGCTCTGCGCCACACAAATACATACAACTCCCAAAATTGTCCGTGAAACACGAAACTTGTGCGAATCGCGTTTCGTGGTATATTGTTTTGTTCATCTCGGAAATCGCAAGACTTGTAAGACTATTCTACAATAGCCGTCAGAGTACGTAGGTAAGACGTAAGCATTAAACAAATTGGCTAACCCATTATTTCTGAACTTGTAAGAATCCCATTGATCAGTTACGTCTTACTTATTGCTTACGTCTTACTATGATAGTATGTAAGAAGACAGGTGACTTATTGCGCATATGGCAGTCGCATGGTAAAATTGACCCAATGAAATTTGGGTCCAAATGCACGCGCGAAATTCAAATGAAGAAATAGTCATATATAATTATACATTTTACACATAGTACAGTGACGAGATAGATTGTTCGTTTGAATCATTCTTGTACACAAGAATCTTAGAATTGCTTTATCCAGATATCATTGCTCATATATGTTGTTTAAACGTATGCAACGGACCTAAGCGTCCGAAAATAAAATGACGTTAATTCTATTGCATTCCACACGAGCCTTCACCGCCATTGTTTCGGGCTACGTTCCGAAATTCTATAGTATACGTGACATGAACTATAGATTTTCAGTATATATTTGAGACCTAATTCTGTTTGGTCAATTTATGGACGACTGCGCATCCACCGGAATGATTCACCTGTCTTCTTGCACCATGCATCTTACTGCATACTCCCATAGTTGTCGTAGATGGGGCTTTTTGACGCAATTTTGTGAGTTATCGTAATATATGGCGCCCGAGCGTCAACGAGTGTAATCCTGCGCCAAAGTAAAAGAACGTTCACTCGTGACATCGAAAGAATCAATCACCGAGACGCAAAACGAAATTACAGCTGGCGCTGATGAAGTACTCGGATATTATAACACTTTGACTCTCGTTCCCTGCATATTTATTCGGGAATAGGTCTCATGTCATCAACGAGCTATTAGATCTGTTCGTTTCCGAGGAATTTCTGAACTAATGCACCCTGGTGCAATAAATCAGAAGTGAAAGAAAATATACTTGTTTCATTATTAGTCTGTTCTTTTCAGCTGCACTGGTGCAATAAGTTACAGTGAGATAAAATATGTTTTACTGTAACTTATTGCACCAGTGCAACTTAAAAGAACAGACCTTAGGTTTGCGTTGCTTGTATTTTTGACACTTTTATATCTAATGCCCTTTGCACACCAAAAGTGCAATTGCAATATCCAATGAGAACTTTTCTTTCTAAAGAGAGCAGGCTAACGGACGTAAAAGTGCAAGTAACACGAACAAACTCTCTTATGACTTGTTGCACCAGTGCAGAAGTTCTTCGAAAATGTTCTTCAATAAAACAAATATATTTTATCTTTCGAAACAGACCCATTATCAAAGACAACCAGTCCTGGGAGTAAATTTCCGTATATTGCCAAAGGGACTCCTAGGCGCCCGGAGGTAATTGAAGAAGGGTGATATTATCGACCGTTTTTAGCTATTCTATGTAAACACTTGAACATTCAGTGTGCGGTAACGTATTAATCTTATAATTCACAGCCGCCTTGATGTTTTTTATCGTTATACACATAACGAAGTATATCCAATACTTTTAGGAAACTACATTTCTCCGCAATTATCATCCATGCAGATTTTACACACTTTTATCAACTTACCGACAGGCGGTTATTAAGTGGCGGAGCTTTCTAATACGCGAAATCTCATAAGACCGGCGGCCTTTACCTCGTCGGTGCTCACGCGAAATTGCAGCCGACCGAATCAAATGACAAACCGAACTCGTGAGATGACACACGTGCTGGGCGTTAAAGTGCATTCACTCGCGAATCGATGACACGATTGTTGCACGCACTATCGACACGTAACAGTGTCTCGGGTAGCAGTACGGCTCGCGCGAAAGGATGACAACCTGGTCTCTCGCGTTATCACGTCGATCACGTCGACCGGTGCGTAGCACTGCTGTCGTTCCCGCGTCTCATGACGTATCGCGTGTGTCATTGTTTTCCAACTGTCATGCCGAACAGCCGTTGTGAATCGCGATGGGCCGGCGTGCCGTTTCTGTCGTTGGCCCACGGCCAATAGGTGAGCCTGCCTATGGATATCGACTCGACATGGGTCGCGCTATCGATCGTGCTCTCCGCGAGATGAATTCGAAAATTCGTGCGTTCCCCCAGTCGCGCGCAGGCGGAACCCTCCCTTTGAAAACACCATTTATATAAAAGAAAAATATATAATATTCTCTCCGCGTGTACAGATAAATCTCCGGATTTCACGTTACCTGGGGTAGTGTATAACGCAGCGTTTTACACACTGGGGTAGAAAAAATATGTAAAGAATAAACATTTGTTCGATCAATACTCGGGGAAAAAATACCTAAGAAATAATAAATATTTATTCGCGGTAGATACCAATATACATATAATAACACATTTATCTATATTAATGTGTGTAAAATATTTTTCAAATAAAAAAATATACCTTTTTCTAGAACTTTAAGAAAACCTTAATTTTTCATGTAAACAAATTTTTCTGAATAAAAGAATTGAGACTTAAGTAAATATATTATTGACACCCACCAAAGAAATATTTGCTATTTTTTAGATATTTGTTTTCTTTGTTAATAACATATTCACTGAAATCTAAATTCTTTTATTGAAATAAAATAAACTTTTATGAAAAACTAAGGTCTTAAAAAAGTGTTCGTTCTTTATTTAAAAATATTTTGTGAGTGTATAAATATGTATATTAGCACGAGTAAATATGTTATTAGATCAAATAAATATTTTTTTTTTATTTCTCAGATACTTTTTTCTCTCAGTGTGGACGACTTTTAGAGGATTAATCTTAGAGCAGAAGAAACTTAGATTTAGTCTAATTTTAATTGCATTGAGAAAGGATGAAAAAAATTCCATTTAAAAATTACTCGGTTTCGAAGTTAGCATAAACAGATTATAATTTTTAAAGCTGGGGAAGGGAAAGGGCATTTAATCTGCGAATTGATTTCCTAAAGCGCAAGCTAGAATCAGCTGGGGTAATGTCACCGTGCACTTGGTTTTATTAAGGTAATTAGAACTTGTATCTTCTATTCCTGTTCCTGCTGCTCGAGGAATTCCTCGATCTCGGAATATAAATGAACGCACTCTATCTGTCTATTTATCTCTGCGCGCGATCAGCTCGATTTTACGGTGTAATCACCGACTGACAGACAGCTAACGACGCCAATGGCTTTCACCGATCGCCCGATTCTATCTACACCACGATCGACGGGACGTAGAAAATTCCTCTGCAGGATGAACGATGTAACAACGCGCGCTACTCGCGCGTTGAATTAATTATCGCGCGATGATAGCTATAATTACGCATACTGATAAGTGAATTAGCTTTCACCGATTGGCAGATCTTATCGGCAAATGATCGGTTGTGCGCGCGCGCAACATGTGGATGTAATGGTGCAATAATTCTGACGTTAATGCAGCAGGCGTAGGATAATGATAGATCTAATTATGAGTAAATGTGAAAGTGATCAATGCGCGATTACGTGCTTTATCGATAGTTGATTAGCTGAAGAGTAGCTTCGATCGTCGTCAGGTATCATAAAGTTGATATCATAAAGCACAATAATTCATCGTAAAGGCAATATACTGGATATAAAAAAGAAAAGAGATAGATAAGAAATACCTTCCAAGAGATATCTTCCTTGAAAACTGTTTTCTCTCTCCTTTTCGTAGATTTATCCAAGAAAAAAACCCGCCCAATTCTATCCTCATCGCGATATCAACTATTATTATTATATTTACATTTGTTAATATTTCACAATGACACCTTGTAATAATGCTATATTTTTAGGAAATATTCGCCGATTAATTTATTGTAGTGACTGGGAGCAAAAGGGGAAAGTAACACGAATAGATATTTATGTAGTGGCGCCGCGATAATTAAGAATAATGAAATGACAACTCGAATTTGCTCTTTCATATCTCATTCAACGCAATGTTATTCATTGTATTTGCTGTCGATGCGTGATCATATTAAATGATTCAATAATTTCTTTTCATTCTCTTATATTCTGATTTGCTTTAATATTCGCAAATTTTTTACGGAATAACCATCAACTAGTGTAATTTCTCCAATCATTCATTGAAGCACGTAATTGTGGAATATTTCCGTAAAACGTTTCGTAATCATCATTGATGACCGTTAATTTATTTGTGTTTATTGTAACTTTTATTCTTTGCTTTTAGGGCAAGGTCGAGTACTTCGTCAAATGGAAAGGTTGGAGTAAAAAGTGAGTGCAAAGTCAAAGATTCGTCATTAGATACAATGTGCGACGCTCATGAATGGAATGTATTTCTAAATCCTTTTGCATTTTAGATACAACACATGGGAGCCAGAGGAAAATATATTGGACGTCAGGTTAATCGAACTGTACGAAGAAAGTCAAAAAGGTGGCGAGATATCTACTAGGAGGCCGAGGCGAAGGGATACCAGATACAGTGTAAGAACAATTTTCTTTCATTAATATTAATCATTATATTTATGAGTTCCGAATAAATCATGATATTAAATTTAATTAATTGTGCGAGAAACTAATCTTAATGCAGAAAAACGATGATTATATATATATATATATATATATATATATATATATATATATATATATATCAATATAATATCTAAATGACAAATTGTGCCCAACACGTACACGTGCAAATTCATATCTCTTTGGTAAATACACCCGTCCCGTTTTATCGTGATAAAAATATAAAAATGAGAGCTTACACCTCGCCACAGCCATGTTAAATTTGTAACGTCAAAAGCGAGGGACGACATATTGCCGAAAATGATGCGCCATTTATAAATAAAGATAAATATGGACGAAAGAGCACTTAAGATTATCTGAGCATACTTGTAAAATTGTCCGAAAAATATCTCTTTTCCCTAACGATTAATAAGTAGTTGTATAATAAATGATGAAATGAGGCATGCAGACAAAACAGACTCATTTTATCATTTCATCCCAGATAGCACATGATATTCTCCGTATATTCTGAATTCATACGGAATCTCCCATATATATACGTAACATTCTGAGAATATACCGAGAATATCGTAAGCAGTATATACTGAATACGAACATTTCGTATATTCTAAGGATATCGCACACAGTATATCATATTTTGCATGCATACCGTAGATTCTGCATATATTATGGAATTTACCCCGAAAGTTCATATATATACGCAATATGCTGGGGATATTCTGAGGATATTGCACACAGATTATGTAAACTTACGTCTAAAATGTAAAAAACAAGTTACGGTTAATATTTTATAGAATTATGAATTGTGTAAGAAATATTTTTTTAATATTCTCAGAATACCGGAATATATATATTTTATATATATATATATATATATATATATATATATATATATATATATATATATATATATATAAATTGTTACATGTATTTTTCAAATTAACTTATCGTTTACTCTCAAATACACAATAATGTTAAGTTAAAAATATAAGAGCAATAATCGTGTCACTATTTCGCCAATATACATTATATCAATATCCATCGCACATTAACTGTTTTAGTTTTCAATATCTGTTAGTAAATATAACATTACAATGTTTTGTAGGCACATAAAGATACATTATGTAAGCACAAGTTATAAAGGTATCGTCAGAGCCATTTGAATCATTACTAGTTATCTGATCACCAAGGTTGAGCAACAGCAACGAAGACTAGGATCAAGACTAGGAAATGAGATGACTGGTGCAGTTCAAGTTCGAAACTATAAAGAAACACGTATAAGCAAAACGCCGCAAAATATGATACACCAATTTGTTTTTAATTATTTTAACAAAATGACCAAACATTAAGTTATATGGAAGTACGCGTGATTATGCGCTGTGTTTGTGTATGCTCGTGTGTTAATAATACTTTATATATACAATATTCTGATGTTATGAGAATATTCCACGTATATCCTCAGAATATCATGGACGATATTCTGAGAATATCCTAAGTATATCATGAATATATCTTAATATATATGGAATATATCTTACATATATCAGATATGATATTTTTAGAATATTCTCAGAATATCATGTGCTATCTGGGATATGCCTTTACCATTTATTATACGACTATTTATTGATCATCAGGGGAAAAGGATATTTTTTGGACAATTTTACAAATATGTTTAAGCAATCTAATATGCTCTTTTATCCATATTTATCTTTATTCAGAAATGACACGCAACTTTCGTCAGCATGTCATTCCTTGTATCTGACGTCACAAGTCGGACATGGTCGGCGAGATACAAGGAACCTTAAGAATCATAATTAATTATTCCTAAAATAATACTTTCCCTTTCTTAGATGTGTTGTGACATCTCGCAGAATTATTATTATTGTATATACTCTGTTACGAGAATATATACAGTCTTCCACTTGTATATTATACTGAGTCACTTTAATAGCTTAATATATTAACAAATTTTACAATATTCCTCAGTGAACGAACGCACAAGTACAAGACTATTCACGAAATCTTCATCTTTTAAGACAATGTAACTAATTAACATGAGAGGGAGAATTAAGAGAACGAAAGTTGAATTCGGTGCATATGTCCTGTATATGATCTAATGAATGACAACCGTTATTTTCAGGAACAGGCGCTGGCCAATCTCGTAGTCGAGGAGGAACCTGGCGGAGATGAACGAGTAGGCGAAGATAGCCAGGACGAGTCGACGACAGGCAGCACATCAGCGACTCGTTTAAATCCAGTAGCGCCCGATGAGGACACATTGCCGAGTTCCTTGGACGGTCATGAGTCTCCGACGCCGCCAGAGTTGGAATCAGCATTCGCCGTCGACTCGGACAGTTCCACCAGTAGCGCGGACATTCCCTTGTTGCCCAGAAAAGAACTCGCGGGCACCAAGAGGAAGGCGGAAGTATTGAGCAAGGAGTCTGGCAAGATCGGCGTGACAATTACCACGAGCAGCCCCACTAGCGGCAGTGGTAGCCCACCACCGAGCAAGGTTCCTCGTTTATTGCCTTTGAAAAACAACTCCGCGTCACCATCTTATGTAAGTGTCAATCGGCATAAAAGTAGAAGTAATTATTGGCGCGATAAAATTGAGATTGGAAATTGTGGAGATGTTCCTCTTTTTTTTAAATCTTCCACTCGTATAATCAAGTTTTATAGCTTTGTGTCGCGGATGAACCTTCTTTGTGTATTTTTGCTCATTTGTATATCGCTCATTTGCTGCAACAATGACATGACTAAAAAATCGCCCTTATTGAGTTATTAGTACAGGGAGAAAGGTACATGTACTATTTACAGCTAAAACGACGATTACTTACGATTACGATTACTTTACTATTTAATTATACCAATATGGTATTTTAAAATTCTCATACAAAGTTATAGCAATTCAAAACATTAAATCGTATCTCCTGAAAAATCATATTTTTTTAGTTATGTCATTGTTGCAGCAAATAAGCGATATATTTTAAAGGAGTAGATATTCAGTACTAGTAAATACAGAATATGTAACGTAACGAAATTGCTTGGTGCAGAGTAAACTAATATTGCATTAGAAATATGAAACATTCAATCGGTGATAAACTTAGACTTCCTATAATTGGATTATATATGGATTGTGCTGTGCGATACTGAAGATGAGATATATAAATTATAACTAACTGATAAACACACGTTCTCTCAATGTTGGAAACATTATCGTGTAAACATCATTATAGCATAAAAATTTCGTGTTGCATTTTCATATATTGCAGCCAAATATTACAATCAACTGTCGCAATGAGTTCTTTCCACTACATCCCTTCCAACATCCCACGCTGTTGTTTCGAATTATATAGTATCCAACAGTTCCCAAGAGATTGTACTTTATACACTTTTTTACTCCGGATAATAACATCTCCGCGCGCGCGCGTGATGTAGTTTATTCTTTATTATTTTATTCAAATTTATACAGAGATGACAATAATATTAGTCTGTGAGCTGTTATCATGTCCTTTTTAACCTTAACTTTTGCGCAGCCTCTCCTTGCACTATTTGTCCACATTTGTATATGCTAAGCAATCAATAATAATAATTATTATTATTACTATTATTATATTATGATTGTAGGAAATTATCTTTCAGTTTGAATAGTTTTGAATCCGTTCTTTTACAACATGATTTCCCAATATATGCAAGAAAAGCACAAGTGTAGATATCGTGTACAGTAGAATCCTCCTAGCGTCTTGTCGCGTCTAACGTGGAGCACACTAAAACAGATAACTTTTCGTTGCAGGGTCACAAGTTCAACGGCAAGAGGCCGTCGTCCTCCAGCGTAAAATCGACACCAGAGGAACCGCTACCGGCGTTCCCCACGACACTGGCGCCTGCAGTGCAAGACAAAAAACGTCCCGAAGCCGACGTACCTCACGGCCCACCTCCCTCGTTGCCGCGCACACAATCTGCCCCGTCGTCTCCGCAAATAGACACACCTCTGGAGGAGCCGCCGACGAAGAAGAGGAACTTAGAGCAAAAGCAGGAGAAATCGAACGGCGCGGTCGCAGTCGACGCGAACGGCCACAAATCGCCCAGTCCCACAGACTCCTACACCAACAACAACAGGTTACCGACCGTCGTGAATGGTCATCACAGTCACAACAATAATAATAATAATAACAACAATAACAATAACAACAATGCGCCGAACGTTAAGCAAACCGAAATCTCCAAGGCTGAGACTATCTACGTGCCACTGTCGAGTCCCGACACGGATTACTGGCACGCGAGGAATCCCGTGGCGGATCAGGTATTCATCACGGATGTTACCGTCAATCTGAAGACCGTTACTATCAGAGAGTGCAAGACTGAAAAGGGTTTCTTTCGCGAGAGAGATCCCAAAAACGATAATATCTATTAACGGTCCTGCTAACTGGCTATTCTGTGACCCGCCTATAGCGCGGGCATCGGAGGAGATAACTCGCTCTCCGAATTATATCTCGTACCACTGTAAATATAAATTATTTTTCACACATCAGCCGTCAAGCTGGAGGGTGTAATCGACTAAGAGCTAAACTTTTATAGTGACGGAAAATAAAAATCGCAGTGTCGCGAGGACGATCGAGTGTCACGCGGAGATCTGTTACAACGCTATCACAACGTCATGGGAATCGGGAATTTGAAGTGGACGCTGATCGTTTCATCGATTGGTGCGAAAGATAATTTTTTTCACTCTGGAAATTGAACTGTGCACTAGATGCGAGTCAAGTCTGTGTAAATCATTTGTAAAAACATTGGTGATGACATGTCGTTGATACGACGAATTTACTATTGATCCACCGTCGTATCACGATATATACTGTATATTTTAAAAATGCTTGATAGATTTTAACAGCGCTGAAAATCTGGAAATTGTTAGGGGATACTACATCTTTTAGTTAATTTTATTATTTGCTTGTATTAGGAAAGTTCGCTAAGAAAATGCTATAAATAAAATTGTTCGACTTTCATTTTTACTACGAAATATATACATATACGAGATAAAAATACTTAGAAAAAAAACAAAAAGTATTTTTCTAATTCATTTTTAGAATATGGAATCTGCTTGGCTAAAGTGATTCAAGGAGAGGAATTTCAAGAAAAGGAAAAGAAAAAGATAGTTTTCAACACATTATGATGTCGTATCCTATTTATTAATAAAATCTTATTATTCACTGAAAGATGAGGTACCGCGAAATAAAAAAAAGTCGAGTGCATGTACGTATACTTGAGAAGTTTACAGTATTTTTAATAATTTGTAACATCTCTTTTTAGTTTTCAATTTCGTTATGAGGAAGCCAATTGATACAATATCATTTATCGACAAATGCATTTCCGCGTCGTCAAATATTCATTCGTTTAAAGATTTTAAATTTTTGAAAGTTTTGAAAGGAAGTTTTCTTGCCGCGAATATAATCGAGTATTTTCTATTTAGGATAGGAAATAATCGCGCAAGTCGATTTCGACGGTCTCGTGAAATTATTTGGACGCACTAATGCAGAGAATTGTACATTGGCTGATCTAAATGTACAGGACGCTTTTATTCGCCTCGATATTGTATAACTTGTTATTTATTTTTTATCTTCAAACTTGACGTTTCACATGTTTTTAAAGATTCATTGTCATTTAACTACCAAGCACAACTCAGAGATATTGTTTCGATACGTTTGTTTTAAAATTGTATAAAACTGAAAGACCTATTGATGCGCCCCCTGTAAAAATATAATACAGTAATAAAACATAAATATAAAATGACTCTTGATTAATGAGATGAGATTTACTGTCTGTATCAAGTAAAACGATAACATAACTCAGTGTACATCTCCAATCTAAATTATATGTTATACATATGTTTTTTTTATAACTTTACGCAGAACAACTTTTAACAGTGCGCAATAATGCATTCAATTAAATGCACTGCGCATGTTTTTAGTAAATCCATTCTGTTTGTATATTTTAATTGTGAAACGCACCGCCAAATGGACGTTCTTTTGTCGACAACAAGAGAGCATCTCGAAACGTGAATTTAATGCGAAAACCAAATTTTATTACGTATTCAAAGCTTGTATATTACTCTCTCAGATATAATCTGTTCTTTTTAGTGATGCTGCAACACTGTGAATTTCGCGCGCTCTTTTTAAAGTCATGATGAATGAATTGATATATATAATTAAATTTATATATATATATGTTGCTTATTTATTATAATTAATACAAAAATTTTTAGATTTTTACGCTCTTAGTATAGTAGTTAGACTGTGTATGCAATGTGTCCCATCTGCAAGTTGCGAGCTTGGCATTCGAAATTACGTTATATAACATCTTTCGTTAGCATAAAACCAGCTGTTTTTTTTCCTCCAATAGATGTATATCCAATGAATTTACATATACAAGAATGTCGAGAAATCAAACAATTTTTGTGATTGAACGCTGAATGTGGGGTGGGATCAAGTGTACTCTAAGCAATGTCAATATTATCTACAGCATTTTCAAAGCTTTTACTTTCAAATACAAATATACGTGGGTGTTATATGCATACAATAATACACAGGATGTTTTACAACTCTGTAATTTTAATAGTATATTTACAATCTCTGAAATAGTTTATATTTCATGCATTCGGATACAATATATCGTACTATGATCAAATTTACCTTCTATAATATTAACTTAATTCTGTATTAAAATTTACCGTTGATTGAGTTGTTTTCGAACGCGATTCAGTAGAAAAATATTTACAGAAGAACGTAATAATAGTCATATTAAAATGCTAGAAGATATAGAAAGCAATATGTAACGTGTTATCAAAGCTACTTTTATCACTACGTGACATACTGTATCTGAGCGTTGTAAACTTTGAGTCTCTGATTCGTTAACTTTAAACTTTTAACTTTTTCCAATTTAAAAATAGCTTGAACATTTTTTATTAGAATCTTTATTTTTAGTGAGAAATGCAACATTAAAGTTACAGTTACTAAATATATGTACATATGTGTACATATATTGATGCTATTAACCAAGTATAGAAGCTATTTCTAAGTAAAAGAATATAAAATGCTATTATGTTCAACCATATATCGTAAAGTTTCACTTACATTTTGAATCAATAATATTATATGTGTGTATTTGATTTTATATTCGATTATAGTAAGTTCTTTACAAGTACCTGAAATGCGTGTGGCAGGTGGCGTGTCTACGTGTGTATGTGCGTGTATGTGTATGAGTATGTATGTATGAATCCATAACTTGTAAACTCTATCCGATTTCAGTGAAATGTTATTCAATCGATTGAAAAATTTACGAGTACATAATTAAACTTGGTCCTATCCTTAATGATGGAGAAGCGGAATTTTTTCCAAAGCGGGGCCATTTGTGTACGACTAAATCTAGGTTTTGTTGTAATCATCGAGGCGAAAGAGAATGAAACACGTTTACACTGTAATAATGTATCGCTGTATATTGAGAGTGTCTTGTAAAAATTGTAAATAGCCGGACAGAACTTTACGCTCCGCACGATAGATGGGTGGAGTGTGTGAGGACGGCTCGTAGGGTATACAAATCTTTGAGTTATCACTTGTACATAGACAGAAAGAAGCGGTAATCCCCTTCCAACTTGCCCCCTCTATTACCCGTAAATTTGAGAATACAGGTCTATTAGAGAGGGAGAATCCTTTTCTCTTAGCTTTAGAACTTTCAAGATAGACTGTGCGCGTACCTTCGAATATTGTTTCTGTACTTATAAATATTCAGACTACTTATACAATAAAGAAAAAAAGAGAAGCGCGATAAGTGACTACGCAGGCATATACGATACGTGAACCCCGGTAGTATCAAATTCAACAGTAATTTTAGTTCTCTGTCTGGTACAGATTCCTTGTTTCAATAAAATTTACTTGAAGTCACGCTTCGCTTTTACAATCAATTACTTCCTTTTCATGCATCGAGATCACAGTGTAGTGTTGACATTGCAAATGCTGACATTTTTCTGCAAAGTTTATGTCGCATTGATTGCACAGAATTACAAGTGCTCTAGCATAATGAAAGTATTTATAAAAATTAATTGAAGCATTACCAAATATATAACAAAAACGACAAAAATATATAATTGCACATATATATATAAAGATATTAAAAAAAATGTTACAAGGCTCCTGGATACTCACATCGTCCATTTTTTTTTTAATGGGGTCAAAAACGAGAAAACGCATGCTAAAAATTCTTGCGAAATACGTCGAAATAAAAAGATATATCCACAAAATGACATTTACGATCGATATTAGGCATATCTCTAAAATATTCCATACATTTTCCTTTCTAACAATCAATAAATAATCATAAAATTAATATAATAAAATAAGGAAATTAAAGTTAAAAAAAAGTTGCATATCACGTTAATTTTATGGTTATTTGTTGATTGTTAGAGCAAAAGGAAAGTATTCGGAATATTTTAAAGATGTGCTTAATCGATTGCAAATGTCATTTTTTGGATATCCCCACACAGCAGAAATGTTCAAAATACATTCATGGGGATATTCTAGAGATATTGAGATATCTTTAGGATATCCTAATGATATATTTTGAACATTTCTGCTGTATGGGTCTTTATCTCGACGTATTTTGCAAAAATGTTTAGCATGTGTTTCCTCACTTCTGACGTCACTAAAAGAGATGGACGATGCGAATACCTATGAGCTTTAAGGTTTTTTGTACTTCACTTTTGGCTATGTCAAATTTGTGATGTCAGGAACGAATGATATATATATATTGACGAGTTGCATGCTATTTCTGAGTAAAGATGGACGAATGAGCTTTTAAGATTACTTGAGTGCATTTGTAAAATTGTTCAAAAGGTATTCCTTTCTCCTGATGATCAATAAATAGTCGTATAATAAATGGTGAAATAAGACATGTAAAATAATGAAATGAGTGTATTTTGTCTGCATACCTCATTTCATCATTTATTATATGACTATTTATTAATCATCAGGGAAAAGAGATACCTTTCGGACCATTTTACAAGTATACTCAAACAGTGCTCTTTCGTCCATATTTATCTTCATTTAGAAATAGCACGCAACTTTCGTCAGTATATCGTTTTTCGCTTCTGACGTCACAAATTCAACGTAACCGTGACGAGGTACTTAAAACTTATACGGTAGATAGTACTCATGCGTTCTCTCTTTCTCTCCTCTCTTCTATCTCTCTGAATAAAAAAATGTTTATTAAACATACATCCAAAAATCAACCTTTTCAGAAGTACAAATATTTTTGTAATAATAAAATAATAATATATAGTAAGATATTCATTCTACATATATGATCAATGGAAGCACACAATTAACTTGCGTTATTAAAACTGGAAAAACATTTGTAATCCTGAGAGAGTTGATTTTTCGACTCATATTTACTAAACATTTTTTATTCGAGTTTTTATAACGATTTTTTTATAACGAGTACTATTCACTCTATAAATTTTGAAAACGAGAAAACGCATGCTAAGAATTCTTGCGAAATATGTCGAAATTAAAAGATATATCCACAAAATGACATTTACGATCGATATTAAGCATATCTCTAAAATATTCCATACACTTTCCTTTCTAACAATCAATAAATAATCATAAAATTAATATAATAAAATGAGGAAATTAAGTTAAAAAAAAGTTGCATATCACGTTAATTGTATGGTTATTTGTTGATTGTTGAGCATAAGAACTTTTTTTTTTAATCCTATGTAATATGCAATGCTCCAATTCATTCTCACACGTCCTTTCATTGTGTAAAAACATTGATATTTCTTTATAGTCTATACAACGCATAAACTTTGCAGAAAAAATTAATCAACTTAAGATACACACACAGTGATATATAAAATGACCAAAAATTAAGTTATATGAACGTAAAAATATATCATACATCTGTGAGCCATACTTTGTAGTGTCTAATCGCTCCACAGACATATCCAGGACATATCCTGGGTATTTACGTGTAAATTACTTTTTGTTTACGTATAAATAACAAAGTATGTGTGAAATATCTAAGTAGACAATAACTTCAGATAGCACAAAATATTCTATGAAGATTCTTATAAAATACGAATGTTAATTTCAGAATATTCGAATCTGATATTCTATAAATATACTTATATACTATAATATTACAGGCAGCAATTCATATATTTATAGTAGAAAAGAATGTACTTAGAACATCTGTAAAATTGTTTACTGCGCATGTACAATAAATTCATGGAACTGTCCAGATAGCCAAACCTGCGCAAATAGATTTTGAATAGAGCTTGCTACAAATTTTTGATGGCAGAAAGGCAATAAAACTATCACAGAATTGTTATATTTAATTATTTTGCTAAACTAGAAATATAACAGAGTCTGCTGACAGACAATCCGAGCAGATTGGTAGCAGAAACCGAGCAGACGTACTGCGCGACAAGATAGCGCGGTTTCTGCTGCCAATCTATTCACATTATTTGTCAGCAAACTCTGACGCCAAAACACGAGCTGAGTACGTACACAGATGGCTATAGTTTTGGTACGGAATTCTAATCAAATTTACTGCCAATCTGCGCGTACTCTGCTATTAATTTACTTACTGGGTGTGAAGTTTCCATAACGTTGCAAATAGTAACATGCATTTGTTATAGTTTAATAGTGATATATATCTACGAAATAAAATACTTAAATTATTCCTCAATAATTATTAAAGCAAAATCAATGAGAGAGAGAGAGAGAGAGAGAGATTCCTAAATTTTATAAATATTCTACGCACATTTATAGAATATTTATAGTTGTGTCATTCGAATATACTATGAAGGTCCTGTGAATATATATAACAGTGTTTTTAGTACATTCATGGAATATACAAATATTCGTAAAGAATATTTATGGAACACACATATTCCCCAGTGAGAAATAACTTATCGATAGACGTCGAATCGACGTCGATTTGACGATTTCGACGGAACTTGACAATTGGAACAAAGCAAGCCAAGGCTGAAGCTTATTGATTCGTTAAAATCTAATCTTTAATTGTCAATCGCCAATTGCTAGTGTGATTTGGACGTAACATAAGAATTGACCAATCATGTTGAGAATCGTCGAATTGTAAGGTCGCCATTTTTATGAATACTCGATGGTCAATTCTTACGTTACGTTACATCTTACGGTTACTGTTACGGAAAGTGTGTCTGGTCAGCTTTACGTCGTTTGCTTTGGAATTCTAAAGGTGCGTTCCCACTTAGCATGTTACGCGTCGTGTTATCCTTTGCGGACCAATCAAATCATCCCATTTTATTGCCTAATTTTACGACGAATAAATTGGGACGATTTGATTGGTCCGCGAAGGACGACGCGACGCGTGACGCGCTAAGTGGCAACGCACCCTTAGAGGACACATGCTATTGGTTAGGCGACAGTTTCCCGAAAAGTGAAGGGGATAATGTTGGTACCAAAGAAAATCTCTACACAATATAATTTAAAGATTCTGTTCTTTGTAACTGCACTGCTAAATTGGTGCAATAAATTGAAATGAGGCAAATATACGTTTTCTCACTCAAACCTTTTGTATTAGTTCTTTTGTAGCAGTGCAGTTACAAAAAACAGATCTTTAAATTATGGGTGCGTTCCGTTTCACGCATGATGCGCATGAAACGCAGCGTTAGAGTGACAGAGATAAAAAGAGAGTGAGATAAAAAGAGAGGGAGAGCACCGGGTGAGGTGTCGAACCTAAGTTAAGTTAGTTCTCGAACGCATGAGATTGCATGGATTGCACTACCTCAGAGCCGAGGCAACATTGGGCGCGTTCAGCAGACGCAACTGTTGTACAACTGTTGTGTAGATGTCTGCTGAACGCACTTCGCTCAGTTACCGCTACTCAGCATGTTTCGGGAGCGGACGCCATTTTTCCCATTAAACTTTTTCTCCGCTACCTACGCGCAACATGTTGCGAAACAAGATGGCAGCGCACATGAGAGAAGAAAGAAGTAAACACTATTAAAATCGTGTATTATAGTATATTTTTTAAAATGAGCTTAAGAAATTGTGATACGTAAATTGTGATATGTAAATCTTGCATCTAGCAATTACCTGTCACACAAGTAAAAATATGCCAATATAATAGAAAAGAGGGCCAGCGATGTAACGAGCATATAGAAATCTTGTATCTCTAGCTGCTTAACTTGAATAACTTCCGAAATACCGGCTTTTTCCGTATCCTCTTTCCTCGAAAGTCTATCAGCTGTACCAATCGAATCTAACCTCTGTCATATTCCAAAATAAGTTGCGGTCACATGACGAGATACACTGAAGTCACGTGACGAGATGTGAGATAAACCGTGTTCAGCCCGTTCAGCAGACACGATTTTCATCACTAAGCGCTACGTATCATTCGCTCAACCGCTTTGCAACTGTTGGGA